ATAGTTTTTTTGAGTAAACACATGCATATCCTAGTTACAAGCATTCCCCTTAACCAAGGAATGCCAACATCATGAGTACACACAGCACTCATACATATAACCATTTCCTTTCCCTTGCTAAACAATCCATAGGAAGCCTATGGCTAATGCAAAACATTCTACCACAACATGATTACACCTGACAATTTTCTATTTGATTAAAAAATAAAAATTAAAAAAAAAAAAAAAACCAAAACAAACACCATGTTCTGTGCAGAGACTGACTATAAAAAAAAAAAAATGTTTGTTTTTTGTTTTTTTTCAGCTGTTTGTTTAAAGATAACTCCAGACTCTGGTGAGAGCTGCTGCAAACGGGGTATCTTTTTGCTTTCTAGGACTGCTGTGGAAAAAACAGAATTCCCAGGTCCCAAAAGTAATTTCCTAAAAAAAGGGATTGAAAATTTATAATAGTTCTATACTTGAATGGAATCATCATGTGCAAGTGAAGCAGAGTTGGGTTTTGGGTCTGTCTTCCCTTTTAGTATCATGATTGACAATCAGTAGCTCTGACCACAGCAGGTTGGTTTGTTTCAATTGTCAAGCCATTTGGAAGTAAAAAGTGTAGGTGAGAAGTCTTAGTTACAAATGGCTCCCCACTCCATATACTCCATACTCTCCCCCCACATACATTTTTGTATTTCAAGGTCACTCTGGGAGTTGGTCCAGGTTGATCTACCATGATTAGTAAATTGCAGTTAGATAAGTAAAATGCCATCTCACTCTACCCTCTTTATAGATAACACTTCACATTCAGAGGGACTTTGTTTCTTGCCTCTAGACAATAATGAAATACTTGAAAGGACAAGAACAGAATCATTCAGTTAATAAACACTACAGAGAGTGATTTTCAACCTTTTCTAATATGCTTCCCTTCAAGCATCTCTACACAGATGCAGATCACTGTTTAGTGACTTTGAACTTAATGGCAAGAGGCTTGACTTCTCTAGTTACTGGAAAATCACAAGTTAAACACCTCTGTCCTACAACTTCCGCAGAGATTCTTCTGATTCAGAGAAACTGCTTCAGAAATTGCCCCTGAAAGGTACCTGTGAATTTACCTGCAATCTATGTCCTGTGAACTTGTCCCCAGCTGCTCAAGTAGGCCAGGTTTCAGGACTGCTCAGCTCCTAACAGCTTTACAGTCAGCCAATGAAAAAGCATTGCAAGCCAACAGCATTAGTCTCACTGTCTCTGGAGGCTAAAATGTATGTATTATCTCCCACTTGTCCTCCACAGGCTGTACAATCCCTCAGTACTGGGTGCCAGCCACAGCACAGATACACTCATTAATAAACCTCTATGGTATCTGCCTCTTGGCTAGAGATCAGTGAACGATTCAACATGAAATATACATCTGATAAATTATTCCTCTTTTGCTGGCTATACATTGTATATGGACACATACACAGTATATCTGTCAATATATGGACAATCTCATCTTCTCAAACGTGAGGTTATTCCTAGCTATTTGCCAAATATATTCTGCAAATTAGTTTTACTCTGTAGAGTATTCCCAAGTAATTCTTCTTTGTGACTCTTAACACCCCAGCTGCGCTGCTCAATTTTGGTTTGGCATCCCAACCCTTCTAAGGAATTGTCCATCTTCCTGGCTGGCTGGCAGCAGCTCTTATCTTTTGTGTGCAGTTTGTCACACAGTAACTCCCAAAGGCTATTTCCATAATCAGGATCCCAAAACATTAAGCTGGGTACAAGTATGCTTTCACAGCACCCTGTGGGGAGCAGAAGTACCCTACCATTAAAAGGATAATACCTCTGTCCCAAAGAGGTTACACACACATGTCAGAAGGGGCTCACCAATGAAAGCAAGGCATCTGTGTGTACTTAGGGGCACAGAGTGCTAAACGGAAGGGCCGTTAGACTGCAGCTGCATGTCCACTGCTCTGTGCAAGCTGTGATAGTTCCACCACCCATGTCCTCTGCCTACCCCTTAAAGCCGGAATCTCTGATCTCAGAACAAGATCCTCTAGCCCTGCTAAAGCATGCGGCCTTAGCATGGGGTCTGCAAACATGCTGGGACTCAAAAGCATGTCTCACACCACAAGGGAGTGCTGTCCTGCCAACAGCACTGAACCTCAGGCAGTCAGTGGGACACTGAGCTACGACCCCGTCATTCCCTGGGGTCAGCGCGAGAGAGGGGCACTTCCAAGCAAGGATCCATGCCAGAGGTAGGACAGCTAGCCTTCTGCAGGAATCCCATGTCCTGAAGAGGCCTACAATCATCATGTGGGTGCTCAGGGCTGCAGGATGTCAATCTACCTCCAAATGTGCATCCTCTCCTCTTCCACATCAGTGTTTCCACATTTGGATCTTGTTTTTTTTTGACCATACAGATTTTTTGCCCCCTTATGAAACCAGTGTTAAAATTTTATTTGATGATCAGTCAAACGCCACTGACTGATTGAGCAACTGTGTGCAACATGGGAGCACTAAGCATAAAGCTTTTAAACTAGTAAACCTTTTAAGTCAAGGATTTACTACACATATTTGCTAGAAATAAAGTCATTTGAAAGTACTTCACAAGTATACTCTAAGAGCACAGTATCTTTTGTTCCCTTTAGAAGCACATTCTTTCAAAACATTATCACTAGGATGAGGATATATTATATGGTAAATGTGAGACTCATTTGAATTTAAAGAAAAGTAGTTACCATGTAGGACAACACTAAACTTAAATACTGAAGTTGTTGATTAAAATAAGAGTTATTTTCAGGGACCAAAGCACATGTTTATAGAAAAAAACATTTCAATTCGTATGGAATAGGAAGATACATTTTATAAAGAAAGAAAAATGACCACTGCAAGAGCTACACTTGAAATGTTGCCAAAAACATACACCAGGGTAAGTACAGCTACACCTAAAGAGCTAGCACTCTGAACATGATTTAAAGTAATTGCATTAAGCTGATATTGCCAGGCTTCATATTGCCAATGACACTGGTTTGTGTTGAAACAAAACCATGAGTGAACAGGGCCTGTCTGTGTCTTAAGCAAAATGCGCTACTGAAACTGACTACAGCCTCATCCCCAAGCTCAGAAACAAAGTAGACCACTACAAAATGGTGGATATAAATTAATTTTGAATGGCTGAGAACTTTTCTGGAATTGAATAAAACAGGCTGCTTTCTTGTGACTCATTTTTGCCTGAACTATTGAAGTTTGCATGCTTTCATCATCCTCCCACTGTGCGTGCTTGCCAGCACTGTGGTTTAAAGAGCAAGGTCACATCTCTGCTTTCAGCTGCAAAGAGCCCTTCTGGCAGCCACTGGAGGACGAGCACACCTCAGTTCTGCACAGAGACCAGCACAGCCACAACTCCAGTGCTCCGATATAGCCCATGATTTCACAACATAGATAAAGAAACACCTCCACGATAAAGCAGCAGTGCCTTTTAGTAGTCTCTTTGCCTGAGGACTGAAATCCTATAGTTTATAAACCTAATGGGGATTTGAACCTCCTGCTACTGAGATTAATCAAAACTAGAATGAAGAGTAAAGTGGCAGCAGGACTCAGCAGTAAGCCACATTTGTCAGCAGTCCACCTCCCCTGAGGAGGACCAGGGAGTTATTTAAAGCTGTGATCACAGATAATTACCATGCTGAGCAGCAAGAGTAAAGCCGATAGTTATTCTTCTCATTCTTGCATCATCCACTTTTAATTAACTTTTAGAAACCAAAGCTGTCTTTTATTTCTTTTTTATTTTTTTTTTTTTCTCCTGAGAATATCTGAACAGATCAGGCAGCTCAGCTCTATTTAGACCCCAATGGGATCTCAGGGCTTACTTCTTTTCAGCAACTTTGAAAATCCCACCCTAAATATTATAGGACATATCTCTGGGGCTGCTGCCTACCGAAAAGCTAACCAGAGATACATTTAGAGCAATAGGGTTTTATATCAGCTGAGAATTTGCACACATCTGCTGTTATACTTGACAAGCATCTCCTGACAGATGTGTCATTCCACTAATGATTCTCAAACACTTGGAAGAAGGAAAAGGTGTAAAGACAGATTCTTATAATCCAGGTAATATATAATTATTCTACAAGGAGTAATATATGTCATGGCAGAAACTCTGATCAAAAATAAAAAAATAATCTTTCCTCAGTAGTCTCCAAAGCCATCTTTTAAAGATTCCACAAATACTTTTTATATTTTAAAGGTATTTCACATCACTGGAATTTCCTCCCCCTCCCCCCTTCCACTTTGAATTTGGGCTCAGCAGGTACCTCACTAAAGGTTGACTCAGAAAACAGGAGAAGCAGGTTACCATCTTCCTCGAGTAAAATGCCTCTGAACCTGTGACAGGGGAGACCACTGCTAAACCACAGCAAAACAGGAGCCTCCAATGACCACATTTGCACCCAATGAGCAAAACACAAATGACAGTGCTTGTGCAAATTACACAGTCTACTTCGAAAAATAATACTGAATTTCTTTAATCTCCTTTTAACATAACCAAGGACCAGTTTCAGCAGTCATGTATGGGACCTTAGACCCACACTGTTTAAAAAAATTCAGGGAAGGGATCTTAGCAGTCCCTAGTCAGTGAACACTTTGGGTCTGTATAAATTGATACCATGTCAGACAGCAACACTCCCAACAGACTTTCTCTAGTAACTTCACTTGCTAACCTCTAACTTCCAGACCTTGTGGTGAGTACCACAGTGTTGATATTTTTGATTCTTTTTTCCTGCCTTATAAAAAGCAGTTCCCCAACCTGGCATGCTGCTCATAGAAGCTTATTGGCTATTATTTTGTCACAGCAGGCCCTTGCCTGGGATCCTCTCACCCTCTCAACCAGCAGGGGCAGAATGGGAGCTGAGCCATGGGCCTTCCCTGGAGACAAGTGAGTGAATGGAACCAAAAGATAGAGGCACGCTTCACAGTCACAACCACCTCACCTCATTATGAAATAAAAGTAACAAACCTTGCAAAGACCTTACCAAAATCCTGGGAATTCTGCAGAAACAGGTAGGTGAAAGTCTGTAGTGATTTCATCAAAGTTCCCAAATGGGTTTCCAGCACGGCAAGCGCAATCCAGCTTGGCCTCCACTGGGCATTAGTTATGACAGCGGTTCAGCATGGCTAGCAGCACGAGCCAGACTGGTACAAAGAGAAACCAGCAGCTTCCTCCTTACTCATGGCGGAGGCAGCACAGGATTTCCTCTCTGCCTCCTACCGCGTGGTAGAAGTGATAGAGGGGGTGGCAATCTAAAGACGTATCACCCCAGAAAAAGAAAATAAAACACCAGACCGGTATATTGGTACTGTTTGAAAGGTAGGTAAGATTTAAATAGCAATAATCCCCAGAAACTATCTAGCTCAGGTCATCACTAACAAGCTGGTTAATTCCTGTAAGGATTAATGCTTGAAATTATTATGCCTGACAGATGTTGGCTGAACAAGAATTAGTCCACAATATGCAGCACAAAACCCAGCAAGGAGCAAAAGTGCAGACAGGTACTTGTCAGAGATGAGATTTTTATAAATTATTAGCTCAACCTCTACCATAATTTTAATTTTCCTTTCTACCCACTTTAGCTTCCACTTCTTTTTTACTCTTGGCCTATAACAGGAGATTCTGTTCACACTAATATAGATTCTGCGCTTAGTTACAACAATACAACATGAAAAAGAGGTTAACCGGTATTTGTGGGAAATGCCACTGCTGCACAATATGGCTGAATGGAATATACTTTGCAAGTGTAAGCTGTCTTCAGTGATGAAGCACATGATGAATTCTCCATCCCTGATTCCCCAAAACTATTGGAAAATATAAAGCAGCATTCTCCCTCAGTTAATCACAATCCCACTGGGTATTTCTGCTGCTAGACATTCAAAGAAACTCACTGGTTTGGTCTACCCACCCACTGCCATTTGCATCATCCTAATAGTGTAAATCTAGTTAATATGCTCCAGGACCAAACCAGCAATCAGCCTAGTGTAAATCTAAAGCAAGCCAGCATGGCCAACAGTCTCTCTAGTTTTACAGCTGCTGTGTATCATAATTTCTACATTTTAGAATCACAATAAAAGTAAGAAGGTGGAGAAATCAGTGAAAACAAAATAAAAATGGGGAAAAAAAGTTTGTTCAAGTTCTACTTAGAAGTTACAGATACAAACAGGAATAAAACTATGAACCTCTCCTCCCATTTCAGAGTTGGATGGCATAAGTGAACACCATGGGGAAAAGCTGGGTATGACCAAAGATGTAATGAAAATCTAGATGGAAGAACAGCAACAGAATAGAAACTGTTGATCAAGCTAACTCTGTGAAGTTGCTAATACAGACAATTAACTGAAGACCAGTAGCCTTACATAGGCTGTGATGCCTGTGTGCAATGGAGCCAACCAAACATGGAACTTTGTCACCAGTGGTGACAAAAGAAACAAGGGACAGCAGCGGATGAATATCTTACGAGGTACCAACACTGTCACTACCTCTAGAAAGAGAACTGATACCAGCTATTTTCCAACTGTCTTGTTAGCCTTTTGCTAACATGAATAATCCTTAGAAACAATAAAAAAAAAAAAACAACTCAAAACACATCACCTTGCAGACTAAGGTATACAATTCTTGGGGGAATGCAAACTGGATAGTGGTCTATTTATCTGAAAGTCAAATCAGGATTGGTTTAGGATTGTGTTACTGTTTGAATGGTGGAGTTTAAAATGCCTATAAATGACCCTCTTCACATACTTTTTCCCTGTTCTCTTTCTCCTGTGGTAAATCCCATAGCCACTGTAAATTTGCCATAGTCCTGTTTTAAAAAAAATATAGACTGAAACTACTAGCACTGAGGAAGCAGAGCATATATGGCTAACATCACCTATAAACAGCAGCTTCTAAAACACAGTAAGAAGCAGTCTCTTTGGATGACTGACTAACCTAGAAAGGAGCCCAGCAGCTACACTGTTGAGTACAGCCAGTCATAACCTGCAGGCAGCAATTAAAGGTTCAGAGTAACAATCAGAAATGCAGCATTACCCATAAAACTTACTGAAAGTTAGTATCATGACATATTTTAAATATCCAAATCGTAGAATACCAGTTGTGCATTACCCTTTAGACCAAATTTGCTTTTACATTTTTCCATATTTTAAAAGGAAACTTACTATTTCAGCAAAATATTCCAAATGCTCCCACAAACTCTGACCTGCCATTCCCTTCTTTCCCACACAAAGGACACTGTTTTCGGTTTCAGTGGGGTAGGAAACAGTGTTTTTCCCACTCTTCATGCTAATTATCATTTCCATTGTGATAGTGGAAAACATTTAAATGGCCCCTTCTTTAGCCTGACATCTTAGTGCTCAAATATGGATTCAAATTACATGTATAAAAAAAAAAAATCAGCTGGATGATCTTAGATTACCTGAGAACCTGTAGGCGCTGCAAAAGAAATACTTCTGCAAACAGAGTGCAGCCCATGGAGTTAAATGACTGCGTTACTCACCCTGATACTCTGGACAGACTGGCCTCATTGCTGTTTGCATCTTTGAACAGCCAGTGATGTACCAGACCACTAACTGCTTAGGAGACAGAAGCCATTACACCAGTAGGATTACAAGGGTTAGAAATTATAAAGCATTGTCTAAGCTCTGACAGTGAGCTACAAAACCCTTCAGGTAGGAAACAGCAGCAGTACAAAAAATTTTCCTCCAAGAAGACCATTTCAGCTGTGTTATATATTCTTACTTCTCTGCCGATGCTCAGGTCCTAGGTGTGAACCAGTACTCCACCATGCTGCAGGTAGCATAGAGCAGCAGTGGCATCCCAAATTCAATGAGGTTATTGCTCAGGCAGAAGAGGGGATAGAATATTGCTAGAGACAGAGGGGACACACATACGAGCAACAAGGCAGTATTAGTCAGCATGAAAAACCACAGGCAGAGCAGCAGCTGCCTAACCATTGCCAAACTTCCATAGACATTGCAGCAAGACAGTTTTAAGGAAGAATCTGAGAGATTGTCATGAGGTGGATTTGGGAAGGATTATGTGAGGACAAAACTGGGAAAAAAAGCATGAAAGTGCTCAGGTGAAAGTCTACCAAGTCTACCAATGGAGGTTGGTGTCATACACGGGCCAGAGGTGGAAGCTGCTCTCTCAGAAACACATAAAATGCAGCTTAGAGATATATAGGAATAAAAATTTCCATCTTCTGGGAATGATCATATTTCTAACTATATTTCAATTCTGAGTTAGAATAACATTGGTGTAAAGGGACTGTCCATGCAATTGCTACTCCCCAAAGAATCTGGTTTGGAATTGCTGTGAAAGGCCTTTTCAGCAAAGAAACATCCACATCAAGCATTCAGGTTATCCTAAGTACTGGGCTTGGAGGTACTGGCAGGGGTAGCACAGACAAACGTCAAGTTCTTTGTCTCTCTTTCTAGTACAATTTCACTCTGTGTAAATAATGAATCATTATGCAGAACCTAATCATTAGGTACAGCCTCATGATTTAGGTATCCAACCTGCAAGTTCAGCATCTGAAAGATCAGGTCAAGGTAGTCATTATGTTCTGCCCCATTCAGAAAGAAAAAGAAGGAAAAAAAAAAAAAGGAGAAAAAAAAATTATTTTGACTTCACCAGTTAGCAAGTTAGTGCAAAAAAAAAAAAACAACCAAACAACCCAAAGCCAACCAACCAAGAAACCCAACCCCCACAACAAAACCAAACCCTGAAGAAGGTCAGATCTGATTTGAGATGACGGTTAGGTGCTTGTATAGTTGCTTAACTGAAAAAAAAACCCACACCAAACCAAACCAAAAAAAAACAAAAAACCCACACATCTATTTGGAAATCCCCAACCTAAGGTGTAACCTGCTAATAGTAACAACCTAAAAGCACTTGACAAATACCAGGGTGATAGATGACACGGGAAGGGCACACTATAAAAAACACATGGAACACAGAAGCAGCCTGTTAACATCCAGGTAAATTCCTCAGTGGTGACTAATTACAACTAATAAAAAAAAAAAAGGCAAAAAAAAACAACAACAAAACAGAGAGGCTGTGACATTTAAAATATTGGGATTAAATGTAATTACTTGCAAAAATGCTTTTTATAAACACCTTCAAGTCCTTCATCAGACAGCAAGTGCTACTTCGCTTTGCAGACAAGAACTGACTGTATGAGCCTTCCTCCGTCATTACGTATTTTCACAATACACTATATCTGGACAAGCAAACATCTGAGGGAGAAATAAAGTAATGCTGAAGGAAAGAGTATATCTTTAGGGTTGCTGGTAGCCCCATCCCAAGCATCCCCAAGGTAACTGCCATGAGTTGGTTATTGTGCACAAGCAGCATGATAAGAAATGCCTCTAAAAGAGGCAAATGGACAGGAGTTCCTACCCATGTCCCACAGCAAAGGAGAAGTCACACGGAGTTGCAGGCAAACCAGGAATATGAACAGCCGGGGGTCTAGGCTGATGCGTGGTGATGAAAGCTAGCCGTACTGTGGACAGCTAGAGGCAACAGAGCTATTACTGTCTCACACAACCTAGGATGCAGGCAGCTGCCAGACAATGCCAGAGACATGTGCCTACTCTCGACCTCATTGCAGTAACTTCCTCTTAACTGCTTTACCACCATTCTTTTTCTTCCTTCTTTGTCTCCCTAATTATTATTGATTCTACACTTACCTATGAGCTTCTCTCAGGGGGCAAGGAACAAACGTTGCTGGGAATTCCATAAAAAGGGCTATTTTTCTGACAAGGACCCTCAGTTGTGGCCAAGAACTTGATGCCAATGCCACTGCCTTCCAACTGAAGTGCTTCAGAGGAGAAGCAATCATATCTGGGGTTGGATTTGAGAAAATCTTGTTAAAAATCCTAATTCTACACTGAAAGTGCCTTAAAAAACAAATTAGTAGTAACTATAGAACAGAAACATGAGGAGAGGGGAAAAAGTTTTGCAAGACAGGAATTTATCTTCACTGAAGATATTTTCTGTAGATTGCTATCTCACACCAGTAGCATGCATCCACTGACAAAACAACTAATGGAACTGGCAGGTCTATAATCTGAAAATATAAGGGAAAATCCCAGGCTCTGGTGAAACCAAGGGCAATATTGTCACAGAGCCAAGATTTCTACCCTGACTCCTGTGGACTTAATAGACAAGGTAACAAGAAAATTTTTCCTTGGGTGCTCTCTCTTTATCTGGAGATCTAAATTAACCTGAGCACTTCTCTGGTGTTTACTGAGCTAGTGTTATTAGCTATGTATTTCACACAAAACTTGTGCTTAACCTGCGGCAGCTACAGACCAATTCTGCTGACTTACATAAGAAACATCACCTAGATTTGTCAACCATTGTCATGTGCCATTCATATAACCATGACCACATTCCCACAGAGACTCAAGAGTGCTCATGCAGAGACTTTCACATTAAGAAAAATCAGTCCTCTAATTTAAAGGAAATGCACATCCTGGGGAAGAACTGACGGCTCCAGAGACTGGTCCTTTTATTTACTCACAGACTTTTTAAAGCAAGGGCATATTTCCTCACATGACCCTGACTTTCCATCTAACTGACTAGAAAATGCAACAGGTATGTCAGCGCCTGTATGCTTTCCACCTTCAGCTTCCCTGAACTTCTTCAGGTTGTACCTACAACAAGGTACAATGCCTGGATAAGGACCAGCTGTTACATCTCAAACTGCTGCTCAGTTAGAGGCAACACGTTTTTCTGCTATGTTTGCCTCATTATAATGGCAAGAAAAGACAAGCATGCAATGCTTTAAATCACATATCACTTCTATGCAAGGTGGAGAGAAAATGCAGCCAAAAGCAACCCCTATACCCTTCTCACAGCTTAGTTTTTTTATTGCTGTTGTGTCAGTCCAGCTGTACACGTAACTGTGTGAAATAATCTTGCAGGTTAAATACTCCAGTCTTGTTGGGTTTTAAATAAACCAGTATCCAGATTCACTATGGATAGTTTACTCTGGCTCACCTGTGACACCCTCCAACCTAGTACTTACAACAGTTACCACACATAGCAAGTTATCTTTCAAACACAGCCTCTGACAGATGGTGTCAGAC